CTGCAAACTGATCTGCTGGATTGAATGCAGCAAAATAAAATGTACTAGGCTCCCTGACATAGATTCAGATTATTGCTTTGGGACAGGATGGGTTGTCTGACCTGGTAATAGCTCATGTGAAAAGATGAGGAGAGGTCATAGGAAAAGGACAACACTGGAAGTCACTCAGATTGGCGTGGGGTCAGCTTTTCCTTACGTGCTGTGATCTTGGGTGAATTGCTTAACCACTTTGAACTTTAATTTCCTATCTTTAAAGAGGAATAATAATCATTTGCAAAACACTTGAATTTGTGGAGGCATGCTATTTTTGTGAGATTAACTTTTTGTTTTCCTTTTTCCCTTTACTTATGTCCCCTTCTCCTTCTCCCTGTTCAAGCTTCTAGCTGATGGATGCTCACAGCTTCTGGAAATAATGCGGCAGAGAAAAAAGAGAAAGCATGTAGGATGTCTGGATTTGTTTTTCATACCCTAAGTATCACACCAAGAGAACTGAGAGGAGTGGAGGTACAGTTGAAATGTTGAGACATAGCAGAGAGAGAGAAGCTATCTCCCTTCTCTGGTTAAAAACGGAAGTAAGATAGATCATGGGTGTATTAGAGCAGAGAGCTGAGTGGTTTCCTGAATGCTGCCTCTCCTGTATCTATGATTCCAAGAGAGGGACCAAGGGCCTAGAATGGGAAGAGCCGCTTGGAGAGACAAAGCGGATAGACAGTGATGGCCATCCGGAAGTCAAGAGAGAGTCACAACCCTGGTGGGACCTCACTGACAAGACTGAAAACCTGTGTGGACTGATGATCAGGGAGGGACTGAGAGGTTGATGTCTGCTGACATCAGACAAATCAAGGACCATGCTTTTCTACCCTCCTTGAAGAAAGCAACTAGCCTGGTGAGAAGGGGAGGAATCGAAATGATTAAGGCAGAATGAGAGATGAAAACAGAAATTGGATTGAATTATTTATGAATTAAGATACATATCTTGAACGGCTTTGTGGCATAAAATTTATATGTTCTCTGCCATGTAGTAGAAAATCAAGATAATAATAGGTATTCCTATTCTTACTATAAATATCTTCTGTGGCTGCTTAAAAGGTCACTATTAGCTTTTATTTACTCAAGAGTAATATCCAGTTCAGGAAAGGTAAAGATCTCAGTGTAATCAGGAGTGAGATGTGGAATCCACTTTGAGTACATCGTCAAGAGGGCTGATGTTGACTCCCGTTTTGATAGGAAAGGGTGAATCATATGTGTAGTGAGGAGCCAGGCACTGAATGATTAAAACGACCATGGCTGGGACACTGAAAGGAAAAGCTGAGTAGAGAGAGATGCTAGCTGTCTTCAGAGATTTGAAAGGCTTTTTGTGGAAGATAGAATGTCCTTGTTGTGAATGGAAGTTGATGGCATGAATGTTTGATTCAATCAACAGAAAGAGGAAGTTTCTCATAGTTGAGTGTTCATCAATGCTAAAGATTCAAACAGATGTTCGATATTCATTTTGTCTGGAATGTTGTCAGAGGATTCCTGTGTGCAAAGGAATGTGGTCCTGGCACTTTCAGTTTTAGGATGATGTATGAGGCAGGCAGAGGCAACCGATATTACCAAATTCCAGGAAATATTCTGGGTGCTTGCTCTGTCTCTTCAGCTCATTGAATCTGCCTACTGACTCCATGAGTTAGGTATTATAAGCATCATTACAAATCACGTTTATAGTTTACATAGAAAACTGCCAGAGTTCATGGTGCTGGTAAATTACAGGAACACATTTTGAATTCGAGTTGTTGCATTAAAAGGTCATGTCCTTTCCTGTTCATACTCCCTTTCCCTAACATGCTCTTTCAAAGAAAAAGAACAAATCCTCAGTTCGAGGACAGAAGTACACATATTTTACTAAGTACTGATCAATGAAAGGCCCTGTCTCAGGAAATATTTTACCTATGATTTATTTAATCATATAGAAATAACAATATATCCATTTATGAACATTTTAGCATATAACAGCACATGTCAATATACTATTCCTATCATCTAGACATACATACATTTGTTTCAGTTACTATGATGAACTGAAACATCATAGTAATGTTTGATTTGGCTGGTCCGCAGCATCCAGATATTTGGCCAAACGTTATCATGGATGTTTCTGTGATGATGATTTTTAGCCGAGGGTAACATTTAGATCAGTGGACATTGAGTAAAGCACATTCTGCTCCATAATGTAGGCGGGCCCCATCCAATTAGTGGAAGGCCTTAATAGGCCTCTTTTTTTTTTTTTTTCTGTTTACAAACTAGAGAGATAAACCTTTATTTCACCACTTTGTCCTAATTCACTTTCTAATAAGACATGTACTGGGGACAGATTTTAAAATACTGGGAAAGCTAGATGTTGGGTGTCTTCCAGGCCGGAGCAAAGATGTGGTCACCCCAGGGGGCCTATGAGTTCCTGGGACGCTCCAGGCAGCACCGGCCACATGCACCAGTATCATCCAATCCCAGTTTTACTTAGAGCTGCCTCATTTGGGGGGCTGTTAGTCCTCGTTTCATGCCTAATTTTCACTAGAGGCTCCCTGTTGTTCCAAATGAGTTCATGACCATAAATAAGAACAAAGACTCACCTCCCACAAACAGGAGGAAATTCTGCCAACAGACTACCTTAGGCCTAGCCTGTAACTCTCTCCCCCCCCCCCCCCCGGGTCTCTAGCCTGCTGGCCTACTCTGCAGATTTTGGACTTGTACCTTCATAATCACATGGGCTAATTTCTGAATCACTCTTTATATGTACATATACATCCTGTTCGTCCTGTTTCTCTAAAGAACCCTAGTGCAGTTATTCATATTTCATTGTTTGCCCTACGTTTCCTAGTTTTAAAATTCTGAGTGAACAGCTACATGTATGAGCTTGGAAGCAGCATGCTCCTCGGTCAGATCTTCAGGTGATACTGTAGCCTTAGCCAGTCTTGTGAGACACTGGGCTAAACTGTACTCACTTTCCTAAACTGAGAAATAATAAATATTGTTGCTCTAAAGAAAATTCTATGAGTGGAACTTAAATTTTCCTAGGATGTTCTGGTGTTCTAGAGATTGATTTGAATTGGAAGGCCTGGATCCTAGCCCCAGGCCACTTCTAGCTAGCTACTGGCGACCTCACATCTCTGGGTTTCATTTCCCGTTCTGTTAAGAGAGCATGGGACAGAGGATCTTCAGTTTCCCTTAGGTGCTAAATTCAATGTCTCCATTAATTAAACTGTTTATTCATCAAAATAAACACTGATAAGAGTGAACACAAGAAGAACACACCCTGGATTCTCAAGCCTCTGAATCTGGTGGCAGTGTGCCAGCTTCCTTTCTGCCAGTAGCTGTCTATCCTCAAGTCCTGCTCTACTTCTTTTCCACCCCAACAGTTTTCTATCACTAGCCAATCGATGTTATATAAATTCTTTGGCACTTCTGTGGCCCGTGCATGTGTGCATGTGCATGCTCACAGTTTAAGCTGGGCTGCTCTGGCTCTGGGTGTGGAGCACAGCTCTATCACCAGAACATTTGCCTCCAGCATTTCACGGATTAACTCCGTCAGTTCAGTTCACGAGGGGAAGGGAGCTACTTTCCAAGTGTGAGTCCTTTTCTTTTTTCTCTTCTCATCACCAAGGAGGTGTGTCCAGTTTTCTTCGCCAGTTAGCTACTTTGTAGGAGCCCTGGAGTCCAGGCAGTGAACTTTCCCCAATGAGTAACTGAATTTGTATTTGCAAATCAATTCTGCTGAATGAAATGTTATATGAACATTTTCCCAGCCCCCTGGTAATACCCCCCCCCGCATTTTTTTTTTTTTTTAATGGTGCCGATTTTAAAAGAAAGCGCAACTTATCTAGTCCTAGCTCTCAGTCCCAGTGAGGTAATAGGGCTCTGGTAGGATGGACTCAATCAAAACTGTCGACCAAGCCGTTTGTCACTAGTCATACCAAGTTTTGCTTTCACTGAATCCCTCTGCACCCACGGGCAGCACCCCCACCCCCACCCCCGAGTCTGCTTCCCTCTCATATCGCAGGACCCACCTCCCCTTCCAATACTTCTCTCTGGATGGGATGTGAACAACTCAAACTAGAGGCAATGGCAAAGGGTGTTAAGGATCAGCACTCCGCGCCGGAATTTAGAGGCATTTAGTGAAGAAGACGGACCTCTAGGCAAAAGGGTGAATATCGATTCATGGAGCTCTGGGTGTCGGCCGATCAGCGGGAGCAGGCGGCAGGTGTATCTGCGGTGGCTGCGGGGGCGGGAGCAGGCCAAGTGCGCGGCCACCGTGGCGGCCCCGGCGCTCCGCGTGGGGAAGGGGCGGCGGGCGAGCACCGCGCTGGCCGTCCCCGCGCGAGGGTCAGCGCCAGGCGCGGGGCCGGGGGCCGGGGGCCGGGGGCCGAGGGCGCCGGGAGGGCACACGGACTTCCCGCTCCGCTCCAAGTTTTAGAGAGAACAAGGGAAGGAAGAAAGAGAGGGGAGAGGGGAGCGGGGCAAAGGAAACAGAAAGGGAAGGGCAGGGACCGGCAGGACAAGAGAAGTCCCGCGCGGCGAGGCGGCGGCCGGGCCGGGGGGGGGGGGTGGGGGGGTGGGGGGGGGGAGAGGAGGTGCCCCCCGCGCCCCCCGCGCTCTCGGGTGCCCGTCGTGGGGCGCGCCTCCCCCGCCCCGCGGTCACACTTCTTTCGGCCCCGGGCCTGGCGATCCTGGGTGGGGCGGCCGCGCTCGGGGGGCGGGGGCGGGGGGCGGCGGAGCGCCGGGCCGGGCCGGGCTGGGCCAGACGCCGTGCGCCGCCGGGGCAGCCGCACCTGAGCCCCCCCCGCCCGGGCCCGGGGCGCGGCGGGAGCCCGCGGGCTGGGGGCGGGGGCGGAGAGGGGGAGGGGGAAGGGGGAAGGGGAGGGGGGACGGGGGGCGAGGCCACGGAGCGCCACCACGTGCAACGCCCGCGAGTCGCGGGGTCAGAGCCCTCCGCCCCCGCCCCCGCCCCCGCCCGGCCCAGAGCGCTCGAGCGCCCCGCGGTCGCCCTCGCCCTCGCCCTCGCCCCGTCGCCCTAACTTTTCTCCGACTTGCCTGCGAGGAGGAACCTGCCGCCCCGCCCGGCCCGGGCCGCGGGGAGCCGGCGCTCGAACCCGGCCGCGGGGCCTTCCACCTGGCGCCGCCCCGGCCGGGGACCCGCCGTGGACCCGCCGTGGACCCGCCGGGGACCCGCCGGCAGGAGCGTGCAGGAGCGTGCAGGAGGGGCGGGCACGCGGGCAGCGCAGCCGGGAGGCCGCGGACGGGACTGCGCGGCCCCGGCGACCTCAGCGCAGCGATGCCGGCATGTAAGTCTCACCTTGCGGCTGAGATCTCTCCTTCACACCTTTACCTGCATCCGCCCCCGCGCCCCCACCTCCCCCCACTAAATGATTCTGTAAGGACCGCATCGACGAATAAACCGGTTTGTCTTCAGTTTGGCCCCCGGGGCGCGGAGGAGCGAGCAGGTCCTGCCAGGCGGAGCTGTGACATGTGTGTGCGGTTGGCTTTTTTTTTTTTTTTTTTTTCCAGTGAGAGGTAAACCTCACATTTGGGCGGTGGAAAGCATTAAAAAAAAAAAAAAAAGGGCAGGGCTTCAAGAATGGGGAAAACGTGTTTTCGAGTCAAATCAAACAAGGGCTAACAGGCACGGCTCCTCCATCCAGGGGCCTCGCCCTGCCAAGAAAGAGCGATCCTGGATCAGCACCTGGGGGCTTGGAAGGTACTGGTATCCCGAGAAAATGTTGACTTTACACATTGTCACCCCCGACTGTAGAAGTTATTCTTGCATCTTTGAGTTATTTGAATGGTTTAAGAAGAGGAAAGAGAAAGAAAGAAAGAAAGAAAGAAAGAAAGAAAGAAAGAAAGAAAGAAAGAAAGAAAGAGAAAGAAAGAAAGAGGCGCGCAGAGAAGTTTCTTGGTTGTATTTCGTAGATTAATGAGTAATGAAGGACTATGTCATTTTACGGGATGGGGCCTGGAAGGCGACTTGCCTTGGATTAGAGGTGGGGGACGTAGGGGTAGGAATGGTCAGAGAAGTCCCAAAGGTTCTGATTTAATGGAGTGACCATGGAAGCAGTGAGATTCCTCAGGGCGACCCTGAGAAAGGGCCACTGAGCACATCCAGAATGCAAAGAGAAGGATTGTTCTTAAAAAGGGCCTGTTTTTGCGGCCAATGCAGAAGTTAATTTTCTTGTAATCTGTAACGTTCGCCCTGGTGTTTTCTTTACTCTTGCGCAGATACCCTGACAGACATTTTGCTCCCTTCCACAAGAATACAAGTGTTTCTAGAAATTCTTATTGCCCCTCCCTCCCCCAGCTACTGGATCCTTAAGCATTTCCATTGAAATCTCCTCTTTCAGCTTCATACCTGGGAAGACTTGCGCCTCAGGCCCTGTCTTTCCCTTCCTCCCAGTGTCTCCTCTTCTCCCCACCCAGCACACAGTTTTAAAACAGGAAGAGTAGTGCCCACTGCAAGCCTAGCACTCTGCCCTTCTGTTCCTGGTAGTGAGCAGTATAATTAGAAAAGAACTACTTATTTCTGCTAAAATTGCATGTGAAGTAATTCCACACCTGTGAGTTTTAAGGTTTCATTTATGCCCGTGGAATCAGCAAGGTATAACCTGAAATAATTTACCTTGGGATACAGCCAACAGCCCCACATAAGACTTGTTCTCATATGCAGGCGGCACATTTTGAATGAATGTGAATTTGTTTTAAACATCAGTTTTTCCTGAAAGCATAGTAAGGTTTTTAACAGCAGATATTCGCCTAGCTTCCTTTCAGCTTTCCTAGGTAATTTAGATCTTATGGGAAATGAAAAAAAGTGTGCATACCAATTTTTAAAATAAAATATGTGGACCTGAACTGCAGGTAATGTACAGATTTCCTCATTATGTAATTAATTTATGTAGCTCATTTGAATTGCATCTGATTAAAACTTCTGTCATATAAAGATACGGATATTTAATCACATAAAATATAAAGTTTAGCATCCTGATTTGAGTTTATTGAGCTTTTTGGACTGAAAGTTTTTCCATTTCTTGCCAGATTATAGCTGTTTCTTTTACCATTTTGCTGTTTATGATTCACGTGGAATGGCTTAAGATGATCTGATTCTTTTTAGATATTAGTGTGTTAGAATAAATGGAAATAATACCAACCTTTCCAAAGTAAATATTCTTAGTATCTTACTGAAAAATGTTACAATGTGGAACACAAACTCTATTATCTTTTAAATTTAAATCTTAATGGGTTCAGGCATACAAACTAAGATATTTTCTGCCCGTTCTTTGCGGTGAAAGTATTACTATGTTGTGACACTCAAGTTATGAAATTACAGATTTTATAAATATACTTGGAGTTATAGTGACTACATATTTTTCATATCCTAAGAAATTTCATAGATTTAGCAAGGCTCCTGTTAGCTGGTCTCAAGCTTCATGGAGCTCCCGTTCGTTCCATTTATGGCTTATATAAATTACATGACATTGTGCTTTTCCAATATGAATGGTGAAAGAGGCTATTGTCTCTTGGCTTATGGGAAATATTAGAAGCTTGTAGTTTTACTGCCTAACTGGACACGTCACTCTGATTTCTGGAAATAATGATTTGAAAGAGAATCAGTTTATACATTAAAAATAAACTGACAACCACTTCCTTAAACTTGACCGTTTTCTAACTGCCCATCTCTTACGGAGTTTACATTTCTGATGGGATGATTAAAACTTTCTAGAGACAATTTAGACTTTAGACTAAATAGAAGAAGACTTTGTTCAATGTGTGTGGCATGCTGAGGCAAAAAAACCGTATCCTTCCATTTCCTTTCTGTTTGGATGCCATTGTTACATTATCTACGTTGGATGGCATTGCGATGCATACTGGGTGGCTGGCGTGAAGACAGCAAAAGGACTTTTCAGTGGTAACTAAAAACGCCAATAAAACTTAAGCGTGGTTACCTGAGTATCCCCTTACTTTCCCTTAAAGCATTACTCAGGATGGAATTATTTAGAATGCCTTAAGGAAAACTTCAGAATTGCTGTGTTTGAAACATTGGTAGCAAATATGACAAGGGCTTAGCATTGGTAAAAAGAAATCACAAATTAGTAAGAAAAATATTTCTATTATAATAGAAACTACAAAAATGATGAACATGCCAACCCAAGTAAAGGAAATCCAAATGAGATGGTACTTCGGTAAAACTGGTGATGAGGAAACAATAATAGTGATGGGAGTATCATGATATAAACGTTGATACACCTCAGTGTAAATTGGATGGGTGTGTGGAAATTTATTTATAAATAACTTTAAACCTACAGAAAAGTTTCAAGAATGATACAAAGAACACCTGTTTATACTTTACACAGAATCACTTAATGTAAAGGTTTACCCCATTTGTTTTATTTTCCATCCTTCTTCCCTCCACCCACTACTCTCAGTAGATGCACACAGTATTTTTCCTGACTCACATTAAGTAAATTATATACATCATGGCTTCAGGCTTTACTTTTTTAGTTGAAAATTTTATTGAGATGTTTGTTGATTTACGTGCAGTTGGAAGAAGTGGTAGAGATCCCATGCCCTTTACTCAGTTTCTCCCGGGGATAACATTTTGCATACTGTGGTACAATACCACAACCAGAATACTGAGACAGTATTCTTTTTCAGACATTCCCAGTTTTACATGTACTCAGGTGTGTTTCTCAGGGTTGCCTTTTAATTTCACCTGTGGTACCAGTCATGGAACAGTGGCTATGTCTGCTCAAATAAGGGTCAAGATGTGTGCAGATTTGAAGAATAAACCTTTTTACCTTTCCAAAGTGGGGGTAAACACAACTTAATAAAATAACTTGAATTGAGTAATAGAATAGCACTTTCTCTTATTCATTGCTTGAGCTCAGGAACATGATCTTTAACCAGAAGAAGAAATACAATTATGAGCACAGACTTGAGTAAACCAAATTACATTCTTTTCACTCTAGAAGAATTATGGTACTCTCGCTGCCACTCCCCATGCCCCTTGGTGACAATTTTAACATAAGTATATGTTTGGGGGAGATCCCTGGGTGGCTCAGCAGTTTAGCACCTGCCTTTGGCCTGTGGCATGATCCTGGAGTCCCGGGATCAAGTCCCACATCAGGCTTCCTTCATGGAGCCTGCTTCTCCCTCTGCCTGTGACTCTGTCTCTCTGTCTCTGTCTCTCTCTCTCTCTCTCTGTCTCTCATGAATGAATAAATAAAATCTTTGAAAAAAACAAAAATGAATACGTTTGGGATATGAGGAATGCGGTAATTCTGACCATTGTGGTTAATAATAGAATTAGTGCCATGTCAATTACTCAACTGATTTCAAAGTTTCCTCACTGAGTTCTCTTTAAATTTGACTTTTAAGGGATCCAGCAGGAGTAAAGAGGTGCAAGATAGTAGGTAGGTTGTCTAGATTACAGACTATTTCAGTGATATGTTTGGTTTATTTATTTTTATTTTATTTTTTTTAATATTTTATTTATTCATGAGAGACACAGAGAGAGACAGAGACATAGGCAGAGGGAGAAGCAGGCTCCCTGAAGGAAGCCCAATGTGAGACTCCATTCCAGGATTCTAGGATCACGCCCTGAGCCAAAGGAGTCCCGATAATGTTTGGTTTAAATCACATTTACAAGGGGAGCATTGACGTTAAAACAATTCCTGTGGAAGGGTTAAGTTCTAAAGCTCCTGAAATAGGACTTAAGCATGTTGTATTTTGTCACCTATGCAGTTTGAAAAGGGGAGCAGGTTTGCAGTAGAGGTAGCTTGGTTCTCAAAAAGGACAAGTGACTAGGAAGCCAGGTGACCCAGTTGGCAAGTGGTTTAATGTTGTATTGTTTTTGTCTGTGAAGTGATAGGTTTTGTTGCATCATTTTTAGATTCTTTTCAGGTGGTAGAAGTCCATGGATGGCTCTCTTTTACTCTAAAAAAAAAAAAAAGTTCTTTCTCTTTTCAGAACTTTGAGGCTACAATTCAAGTAATACAGGATTATGTTTTTTGTAGTTCCCATTTAGAACCTTAGTAACCCTGTTCAGGATTTTCCGTTCTTGTGAGAAAGTTGTTTGAATCTCAAGGATGTGTCTTTGCTAAGTGATCCCCTGAGAAGACACACAGTGCTTTCCTTCCTCTGTTCTATTCTTACTTTATTTGTTTCTGTTCTTCAGTAAACAGTAAACTGGATGAAAGTTGACTTGCCATGTGGTTTAAGTTTGGTTCTAAGTACTTGTCCTATCCTGGGTTCCTTTTCAATACAAAGTGATGGAGTCTTGAGAACCAGAACACATGAAGCCCCAGATCATCATTTGCAGCTCTTGTCTGAAAGAATTACAGGCAGATTTTGTAAAACAGCTTCAGGATTGATTATGGAATCCCTAAATGTCAGAACCTGTTGTAGCAAAACAGAGTTGCATGATGAAATAAATAGTATTGAATGTTGCCAAAGCTAACAAACATGATTCCTTGAGGATTGTTTAGAGAGTACATAAGTCTAAGAGGAGACCATTATTCCCATACTTATAAAGGAAAATTGTCATATGCCCCAAAGGTTAGGAAACTGGGAGTTCTCTCAGGCTGATGACACTCCTGACTGTGTGTGGTATAGCAGGCAGCCAAGTTTGATTGGTCTGCCCCTCAGTTTCCTGGGCCTCAGTTTAGGAGCATACTCATTCATCCATGGCATGAATGGGAAACACCTCATTCATCCAACATCAGTGGGAAATGGACCCATCCTTCCAAATGAGTGAACTTTCCATGTAACAGCAGTCTATCATCTACCCTTTTTAAAGCTTTTACTAAGTGCCGTGTAGTATTATCTCTATCTTTTTGATGGATGGTATCCTATTTGCAGAAGAGGAAATAGTCCAGAGTTTAAAGTACTTGCCTGTGAAGTCACACAATAAATAGAGGCACCAGGTTGTAATTTTGCTATTCCAGAGCTCACATTCATCATTATTATATATTATTATGATGTACAGTGGCATGTTGCTTCTCATAAGTAGTAACATTGCTTTAAATTTCAATTATTTTGGATAAATGTGTTTTAAGACCTACCTTCCATTCAGAAAAATACTCTTCAGGTCTTAAGCTTTGCCAGTTTAGAATTTCCATTAGGAGCTGTGTGATGCTAGAACTTCTAGTTGGGTGAATATAAAAACATGGCATGAATGTCAGACAGTACTCAAAATTTCTGCATTCATGGCAGACATGAATCATCCTTTCCCGTTTCTGTTCCAAGGTGATACAGAAGTAGTCCCAAACTCAACTGATGGGTGTTGGTTTATGACATCCTATTGTCTGTTCTTGTTTAAGCCTTTTCTTTTGATTTAATTGTGGACAGAATAACCACAATTATACTGGAATGGTAGTAGCAATAATAACAGCTAATATTTTTTTAAAGATTTTATTTATTCATTTGAGAGAGAGAAAAAAATAGAGCAGGGCAAAAGGGAGACGGAGAAGGAGAAGCAGACTCCCTGCTGCATAGGGAGCCTGATGCCGGGCTCCATCCCAGGACCCCAGGATCTTGACCTGAGCTGAGTTGAAGGCAGATGCTCAACCATCTGAGCTACCCAGGTGCCCCAATAACATCTAATATTTGTTGAGCAATTGCTGAGTGTCAGGCACTTTCTTAAAAGATGTGATCTGATTTAATCATCCAGCAACTCTATGGATTAGGTTCAATTGCCATTTCTATTTTGCAGGTGAAAAATAGGAGGTGCAGGGTAGTCAAGGAAATTACCCAAGGGTGGCATAGCTCACAAATATCAGTGACTCTCTTGTCGACTCTAGAGCTTGGTCTCTGCTGCTTAGGTGGTCTCGGACAGTAAAGGATAGATTGGAAATGAAGGCTTGAGGCGAGTGCAGGAATCATTTGATGACTATTTTTGCTTGTCTGAGTATTCCCTTTCCTACTTTTCTAGTTTTGTGTTTAGTATTACATATTTTACTCCAGGTAAGCAACCTTCAGGTAAAAAAAGTATTACTGTGATCCTACAGTATCTTATTAGTTGTTTCTCTTTTTAGAAATAAAAAGACTCTCAGTTATCACCTGGATGGTAACTCCCATAGTTGGAGATTTTTAGGATCTGGAGATTTCTTACCATCTTCCTGCCTGATGGCTCTTATGCTTACGAGTCCCTGTATGGACCTTCTGATGATTGACCTTTATACTTGCTGCCCCATTCACAGGCTTACCTGTTTTGATGAGGTTAAGCCAATGCGAGGTATCATTACCACTGTTTGAAGCCAAGATAATGTGGATGTTCCTATCTAAAATATCATTAGGTACAATTTTAAGTTTAAAGATCAGACCATTGTATGGATAATTATTTGAGAATTTTCAAAGCAGCAACCCTCCACGTAATGCCATATACTAGTTTCTATAATGCTTGGTGTTTACTAGGCATTTACAAACATTGAAGGCTATTGTTATTTATAAGGAAATTATTCTTTTTTGCATATTAGTGCTTTGTTGCTTTTTCTTAGGGGAAAGCACATGATTGGAAAATTTATCTTAACGGTTTCCATTTGTAAAGCAGCAGATGTTATAAAATGAAAACATTTCCTTTAAGTCTAAATTTTTGGAAGATTCTAGAAGAGATTGGTATAAAATCCTCTTGCCATCTAGATGGGCATATGACTCGTGATGCTGAAGGTTGAAGCTGAAATTGCTTTACTTTTTAATAAATGAACTTGAATTATCTGAATTTTTCCCCATCTTCATTGGGAAATCACCTATTATACCTAGACTCTGATAAGGAAGGTGCCAGCAAGTGCAAATGACATGCGTGAATTTCTTTTTTTCTTTTGCCTAATTAGCTAAAAGAGGTGATTTGGTTTATCATCTCTAAAGTTCCTCCTTTATTTGGAAGCAAGGTTGAAAATGATTTCTGTTTTCCAATCTCTGCTGAAAATCTACACTATGACTATTATTGTCCTAACGCTTTAGTGAATACTGAGTGTCCTGATGGTTGCTTTCTTCTGTTGCAGGATGTTTCACTCAGATCAAATGTGGAACTGTCATTGGAAATGGAAGCCACATTCTCTTTTGTTCTTATTTGCTTTATGTATTGTGTATGTTCCTCTTTCAGGTAAGTAAGACTTTTTCTCTTTCAAATCCTGAATTTAATAGTGATAGCATTGCCTTCAGTACAACTGTGCTACTTACTTAAGTCAACTTTATTTCTTGTCTTTTTCTCTGCTTCTGTCCTTACAGGCTTTTACTGTCCATGGCCTCTCTGACTTCCATGTGAATACTATTATGTTGATCATTGTTCTGTTTTCTGACGAGTGTATTTCTTTAATCTTTGCTGCATTTCTATTAGCTTTATTTATTTATCCAACCCATATGGAATGATGAGATAGCTACATGTCTGACATTAAAAATGTGCTAGCTATTCTACTATTGAATAAATATACAGTATTCAGTTCTTTCACTTTTCAAGTTTTCATGTAGTTACTTATGGAAAGTATAGACTTTGCTGTTTGTATTTATCCTGATTTTCTTACCAAGTTGCAGTTTAAGACAGGAATTTGAAATTAAGTATTTAGACCATGAAGTTTATTTAGTTGGCTTAAAATGATATGAAAAATTTCATTTTAATTGTATTTTTAGAGTAAAAATATCAAATATTTGTAATTACAATTTTTTTCTGAACTTTGAAACAAGAGCCTATTGTTGCAAGCTAAATTTTCTATAAACAGTTAATTATGTGAATGAGCCTATCAGAACCTGAAGAATGTCAGTGATATTTAAAAGTGTTTCTCCACGATTATCTGATTTTGTTTCTGAGCAAATTGCATTTCATGGAAGTCCATTTTGTTTTCCCGCTTTTTTAAATTGCTGTTTCTTTCAGTTTACTATATTTGTTTTTAGAATAAATTGTTACTCAGGTAGTCTTATGTATTTATTACTTGGGGTTTAATCAAGATTTTATACATTCCATATATATGATATATCTGCATGTTAAAAATCCTAAATTTAATGAATCATGAAAATAGATTATCTGCTAAAACTGTTTATTCATGGATTGAGAAATTCAACTTGTATTTAATATATAAGTATGATTTTCCAAGCCATCAAGTATTTTAAGAGTTTCAGCTACTAACTTCGAAAATTCCTGGCACTTGTTTAATGGCTTCAAAACAAAACTGATCTTTGAAGTCTTTTGTGTATTTGTTTCAGTTTCATGATAAAGCCACTCTTTACTTTCATTGCCAAAAGAGGAAAAAGAAACAAGTAAAGAGAACTTAAAATAAATATACATTGGATTAACTAGGTTCCAGTATTAGACTTTTTCTCAGCTTTCAAAAATGACTCTCCAAGAACCAATTACATGATGTATAATAAATTATGATATTAAAATTAGTCGAGGTCTATTTACTTTCATTTTTGTTAGGTCATGGCCTTTGTCGATTTTGGAGGCTTCTTCAGAGTTTAAATTGAAACTTTTTATTTTTGATGTCAACATTTTAATTGAAATACCCACATCGTTATTTTAATCACTTGAATCAATGAAATGAAACACATGTTCTCAGACTAATTAAAAGAAGTCAGCACTGGCTAGGACTAGGGTGGGGCCAGGGAAGCCCCTGGGTTGCAGAATTTAAGGGGGCACTCATTCTCAAGGTCATGGAAATCAAAGTCCTTAAGTCTGTTTTTAAGTTACTGTCTCATACAAGAAATCTTTTTTAAAAATTTCTTTCATTACCAAATACTTTATGTGCATCATGTAAGGCTTTGTGACTGATGGTAATCTGTGTTTACTAATGAACCCAGAATGCTATGTATCTATATACCTGGAAGCAATGATTCACTCAGAATGCCACTACTTCAGCCATGAGTGTCTAAACTCACAAAAAATACTTTGGGGATTATTATTGGTATTTTAATATAAAATTTTTGCCTTACAACTCAGTATGAGATTCCCTAAAATAATGCATATCAAAACTTTATATATATCTGCTTTTCAAAGTTTTATCTTTAAGTCATAGTGTAATTTTGAATAACTATTCTTGAGAACATTTGATGCTTAATTGTGATGTGGTATCTCAATGTTTGCACTCTCTGACATTTTCATGAGTGACCCCTCGATGACCCCTATGTGACCTTAAGGAATCCAGTGGCTTTTAATGGCATCCTGATGCCAATGTCTCCTAAATCTGTATTGTCAGCCCTGTCCTCTTCCTTGACCCTGGAGTCACCTCTGGGATTGCTTATCCATATCTATACTTGGATATATAATGGCCTCAAACTTCACAGGTGCAAATAAGACTCTTGATTCCTACCTCCTATCCCAAAATCCACTTCGTTTTCAATCTGTACAGTCCACCCTACTATATCCTGCTGTTCTCTCCCACCTTACAATTTTCTAGATATGTTGGTCCATCTCTTTCTTGACCGTGCCTCCCTCACCCCCTTTTCTTCCTAACTGCTCACACCTGGTTCTTTTTTGACACTCTGATCTTAATTATTACCACTTCAGATAAGCCTTCCTGTCCCCCAAAGGCACCCCTTTGCCACTCTCTTACCATGTTACCCTTTAGTGATAATATATAGATTTTGGTTGCTCCCTTGGTTGTTAAGGCTTTGGTAATTTGGCTGAAATAGCTCAGGTAGAGGTTTGGCAAAACCGCTTTTTATTGTTAAGACTGACACTTAGCTGAGATGATTAAAAATTAGAATCCTGTAATTTAATTTGGATAACATCTTTGTTTAATTCAAGTAATAGAATTGCAAGGTTTGGTCTTCTAGTAGATAAGTTAACAATTATAGTTTCATGGGGAATTTATAAAGCAAGTAGTACAGAGGTTTGTGCCCTTCAGGATTTAAAAAAGGAATGTACAAAATGTTATTGTCTCTTGAGAAGTGATGAATATAACTTTCAATAGGAACTACAACAAAATAACAGCTGAATATTTAAACTAATCCCGCAGAGGTGCAAATTAATACAATAAAACATGATTTTTTTTAATCCAGTAGCTTGAGAATATTTAGAAACATTGCTAATATCTGTATCCAGTCTTATCAGAGTTATTGGGGATAGGGCACATAGTAACACTGTTGGCTCTGTCCCTTGGAAGAATAAGTACGCAACATTTTTTAAAAATTAGGAATTTGTATTTTCTTTGATATATGACTCCCACATGTAGGTTATCTATTTTACAGAAATAAAAAACATAATATATAGAGAAATATGTACTGGTATGTTAACTATAACTATAACTATAACTATAGTTGCTTATAACTATAAGCAAACATGTGGCAAAGACTTTAATTGTTCTTCAATAAGGGCATGGCTATATAAATTATTTTACATTAATACTATGAAATATCATGCAGTCATTCAAAACAATGTGGTCAAACTGTCTATATTGGCTTTAAAAGAGGTCGGTGATAATGTTAAGTTAAAAAACAAATCGCTGAACAATATCAGATTTGTACTAGGTTGTATTACAAAACTTGAATGTGTTTTACATGTATATGCTTGTTTAAGATTATATAAAAATCATAGTAAAACTTGGAATGATATACATCAGGCTTTAAAATGGGTCATCCTCAAGAGCATAGGTTGGAATGAGAAAGGGAAAGGCAATGGAAGTTTATACAGTTCTGAATTATTTGCTTGTTACAGTGAAGGTATATTACTTTAGTAATTTGGAAAAAAAAAAAAAAGAAAACCTGATAATTTTTTTAAAAGCCACATTTAAAAAATGGCCGGGGGGAAAAAAATAAAATAAAAAATGGCCAGGGAGACCGTTGAAGTACATGAATGTTATAATTTTCTGTTAGACATGTAACTGTTACTCTGGCTCTTCTTTACTTGATAGGAATCTCTTAAAGGTGTTTCAAAATATAACCTCTTTTTATGTAGCATGACACTCCATGACTCTGAAGATGAATGATGGTATCTCAAGCAGAATAAAGGTTACTGCTTCAAGTAGAATGGGAAACAAACAGCCAAGAGCCAATGAATTCCTAAGCAACCAGGAGCCTATATCCACACAGATAGGTTTAGTCATGAGCACTGAAGGAGGAGCCTCCCATCTCTCCTGAAAAACTGGTGATACCAACAGACTATTTCAAAGCTCAGTGTTGTTCTGATATCTATGATATATCAATAGCTAAAAGGGGAAGTGTTCTTAAAAGTACAGTCTGGCCTGAATTGTGTACTTTCTAGCCCAGAGCACACCATAGTTCTAGAAGGCAGGTAGGTAATTGGGCAGAAGCAATCCTGTACTTTCTGTTTGTTTGTTTTTCTCATAATCAAAGAATGAGCAATTATTCTAGAGCATCAATTACACTGCAATCTATATTTATGTGTTAGGCATATCACCTTATGCATATTTTTCATATATTTGATCAAAAAGGCTTTCAAATGCATAGAAAAATCATCTTTTTACAAGTCTTCCAGGCTTTTTTAGCCATTTTATATTCATGTGTCTCAAAGTTCAAAAACAAGGTTCCTGTTGTGCCAAATATTCTCTTCTTTAATTCCAGTGTGGTTAACTAATATAACATGGTGTTATATTAGTTTCATGTGTACAATATAGTGATTCAGCACTTCCATATGTCATCCAGTGCTCACCAGGACAAACAAGAGTTCTCCTTAGTCCCCATCACCCATTTTACCCATCCCTCACCCACTTCCTTTCTGGTAACCATTGTTTTCAATGGTTAAGAGTCTTCCTTGGCTTTCTCTCTCTCTCTCTCTCCTCTCTTTTCCCCCCCTTGCTCGTTTGTTTTGTTTCTTAAATTCCACATAGGAATGAAATCATATGGTATTTGTCTTTGACTCACTTGTTTCACTTATATTTCACTAACTTATTTCATTATACTCTGTAGCTCCATCCATGTGGTTACTGATGGCAAGACCTCATGCCTTTTTATGGCTCAATTATATTCCATTGCCTGGATCTACATACTAAATCTTGTGATATACATACCATATATCATACCATACCATGTATATACACACTACATTTTCGTTATCCATTCATCTATCAGTGAGCATTTTGGGCTGCTTCTAGAATTTAACTGTTGTAAATAATACTGCTGTAAATCATCATCAGAGCAATGCAAATCAAAACT